TCACCTCCTCCCATTACCGCATCAAAACTACAACTACATTACAGCACAATCAGCCTGGAGAACCACCTGAAAACTAGCTAAACAGAAAGCTTATAGCTAAGGATATAGAGAAGAACCCATGTTGAGACTGGTAAGAGGAGCAGAAACAAGAAACAAGGTGACCCCGCACCCACACCTGGGCAGTTGAGAATCAGAGGAATTTCTCAGCGTCAAAGGGCCCCCATAGAAGTGAAGGGTCTCAACCTCATGCTGGGAAGAAGAGCCCACACAACACCTGGCTGTGAAAACCAGCAGGGATTCTGCCCTGGTGAGAAGGAAGGCTGCTGAAGACCGTGCACACACACTGGCTCACAGGCACTCATACTGGACTCTGGAAAAAGGCAGTGGCTTGGAGGGTGCCAGTTATACAGGAAGAGAGTCAGCCGTGTGGCTTCGGGGAAAGGGCTAGAGGAATCCCTCTCCTGTACCACTCAAGGATGCCTTCTTTCCTGGGCCAAGCACTATCCCCTCAGAGCATTAGCCTAGTGAGCTACACTAGCCATCCCCCTCCAACTCCGAGGGCCCCCCAACCCTACTCACTCAAGTATAAGTTCTGCCAGTAGCAACTGGCCTAGGGGCCATATTGCAGTGTTTCTTAAAAATCTCTCCAAGAATTCAAGCAAGCTTGGGGTGGGAGGGGCTATGATGCATTCTGAGGCCAGCTGCCACCATTACCTGGCTTGGGGCCCAAGGAACTCTGAGCTTTCTGCCAACTGCTGGCTGTCCATTCGGTTCAGCCACTGAAGTAGACTTTGGGCGTTACGTGAATTGCATGAGGCAAGAACCCAGGGAGTCACCAGGAAAGGGTGAATGTAGTTGCCACCTCAGGCTGGGTCTGAGGCCGCTCAACAGAAGTGTCAGAGTACTTTGAGGTCAGCTGTCACCTGCCAGGCACACACAGAAAGAAACAGAGTTGAGTAGCTTTAGGGCAAGGCCTGCCTTCCAGCACACAACAGGTATAACTGCTCCTGTGCAGAGCCCTCCCTCGACATGGCAAAATCATGATCTGTTTTAGCCAGATGAACTCTACTGGCTGCCACCTGACAATGCCTTGAGTCCCCACCACAATGCAAAGGTCCCCAGGCCCTGGCAGGTGACAGCTGACCTCAAAGTACTCTGACACTTCTGTTGAGCGGCCTCAGACCCAGCCTGAGGTGGCAACTACATTCACCCTTTCCTGGTGACTCCCTGGGTTCTTGCCTCATGCAATTCACGTAATGCCCAAAGTCTACTTCAGTGGCTGAACCGAATGGACAGCCAGCAGTTGGCAGAAAGCTCAGAGTTCCTTGGGCCCCAAGCCAGGTAATGGTGGCAGCTGGCCTCAGAATGCATCATAGCCCCTCCCACCCGCAACCAGTGGATCACTTTGTAGCTCCTAACAGGTTGCCCAGTGGTGGTCACAGGAAACAAGTGACATTGACCTGCACTAAACTCCCTTCTAAGAGGCAGCACAACCAACAAACCGGGCAGCTGACTTCAGAGCACAAGAAAGCAGGACTTGATTACCTCTACAGACAGCACACCCAAAGGGAGGACTCAGCAGGAACCTGATTCTGCTGGGGCAAATTCTGCTTCGTGGGGTCAGCTCCCACACAGCACTCATAAATAATGGTTGTGGCCAGTCCTCACACCAGCCAGCATAAGGGTAAGCTACACCCACAAATATGCAAACAGCAATAAAGGTTCAACTCCAACAGGAGGGCACACACAATGCACACAAGGAACATTCCTGGAGCACCCAGCTCAGGGAATAAGGGAGACAGTGCACCTGGGACACACAGGACAGAAAGTACATATGGCCACCATATCAAAACTAGAGACATAGCGGATCTACCTAATACATATGAACACCCACAGAGACGCAACCAAAATGGGAGACAATGATTAAAACAAAGTCCCTAGGCGGTGGCTGCTTGGGACAAAAGGCAGACCGATTGGCGGGGAGGGAGTGGGGCGCGGCCAAGCCGGGCCGGGGCTCCGCATGCAGCAGCTGCCCTGGGTGCCCTCACAGCAGTCTTGCGGAGTTGAGCCCACCAGCTAACTCGAGCCAATGGTCTGCAGCCATCAGGTGGGCGTCCAGGAGGCAGCGGTGCAGGGAGGGGCCGGATGCAGACAAGTGGCCCCGGAGGCCGCCATGGCGGACAGCGGCACCGCAGGGGGCACGGTGTTGGCTGCCTCGCTCCTGGGCTGGAAGGTGGTGGCCCAGGGCCCCGCGTCTACTTTCAGAGCCCCCACTGATGCTACAGGTGCGGGCCCAGGGAGCGTGGACAACGATGGCCCAGTGAGGTGCCAAGAGAAGGTCACGGTCAAGTATGACCACAAGGAGTTACAGAAGCGCCTCAACCTGGAGGAATGGATCCTAAAGCAGTTCACTCGCCTCTACGACTGCCAGGAAGAGGAGATCCCGGAGCTGGAGATTGATGTGGACAAACTCCTGGACATGGAGAGTGATGATACCTGGGCTGCCAGGGTCAAGGAGCTGCTGGTTGACTGTTACCAAACCCACTGAGGCCTTCATCTCTGGCCTGCTGGACAAGATCTGGGGCATGCAGAAGCTGAGCACACCCCAGAAGAATTAAGTGTCCTCAACCCAGGTGAAAGGTGGCTCTCACAGGACAATCGCTGCCCCTGACCTCGTAGCAATAGCAATACCAAGGGGCCCTGCGGCCAGGCCTGGTGGCATGAGCAAGGCTCCCTCTGTGCCCTTCGCTTAGGGGCCTCTTCCCTGCCCCCCTGTTTTCCATTTTGGGTTTTTTAAATTATTATTATTAAAGTATGGGACTTAAAAAGTCACAAATTAAATAACAATAAAAATCTCCAGAAAAAAAAAACCTAAATGAAATGGAAGTGGGCAAACTACCAGATACAGAGTTCAAAACAATGGTTTTAAAGGTGCTCAAAAAATTAGTGAGAAAGTCAACAGCATAAAAGAGGACATAGAAACCATAAGAAGAACCAGTAACTAAAATGAAGAATACACTAAAAGGAATCAACAACAGATTCGATGAAGCAGAGGATCAAATTAGCAATTGGGAAGATAAGCAATCAAAGCAGAAAACAGAAGAAAAAAAGAAAATGAGGACCGTCCTGGCCAGGTGGGTCAGTTGGTTGGAGTGTTGCCCTGTACACCAAAAAGTTGCAGGTTAGGTTCCTGGTCAGAGAATATACTTATGTTGTGGGTTCCATCCCTGGTTGGGATACATAACCGCATAACAGAGGCAACCAACTGATGTTTCCCTCTCACATAAATGTTTCTCTATCTATCTCTATCTCTCTCTTTCTCTCACCCCCCTTTATAAAAGTCAATAAAAATACATCCTTGGGTGAGCATTAAAAATAAAGAAAGAAAAAAAATGAGGACAGTTTAAGGGAAATCTGGAACACCGAGAATAACAACAACTGTATCATAGAGGAAAAAGAAGGAGAAGACAAAAAGCAAGGGGTTGAGAACCTAGCTGAAAAAATAATGACTGAAAACCTCCTTAATCTGGTGAAGAAAAAGGGTTTTCAGTCAGTTCACTATCCAGTAAGTTCAGAGAGTCCCAAACAAGATGAACCCAAAGAGGTCCAAAACAAGACATATCATAAATGCAGCAACAGAAAGACCTAGAAGGGAGCTCCCATAGTATTGTCAGCTGATTTCTCAACACAAATTTTTCAGATCAGAAGAAATTGGCACATAATATTCAAAGTGATGAAAAGAACCTAAAACTGAGATTATTCTACCCAGCAAGGTAATCTTATCTAATAATAGACAAACATGCAAATTAACTGTCCCTCCTCTATGCTCACCAGCCAATCAGAAGAGTATGCAAATTAACCCAACAAAGATGGCGGTTAATTTGCATACATAGGGGCGAAGCGGCTGAGCGAAGACTGAAGGCTCCATCCGGAGGTGTGAAGACTGAAGGCTCTGGCCGGAGTGAAGGCCTGGGTCCCGGGTGCCGGAGGAAAACCGGTGCCGGCAGCCAGGGGAAGGGAAGGCTTATTGCACGAATCTCTTCGTGCAACAGGCCTCTAGTCATTTATAATTGAAGAAGAAATAAAGATGTTCCCAAGCAAGAAAAAGCTAAAGTTCATCACCATGAAATCAGTATTATAAGAATAGTTAAAGAGGCTTCTTCAAGAATAAGGGGGAGCCCCAATGGTGTGGCTCAGTTGGTAGGGTGTCGTCCTGTGCACCAAAAGGTGGATGGTTTGATTCCCAATCAGGGCTCATGCCCAGATGTGGGCTCAATCCCTGTTAGGGGGCACAGAGGAAGCAATCAATTGATGTTTCACTCTCACATCGATGTTTCTCTCTCTCTCCCTCTCCCTTCCTCTCTTTCTAAGAAATAGATAAAAAATATTTTAAGAAATAAGGGAGGGTATCATAAATATATAAGTAACAAAATTGCAATAACTATATACCTATGAATAATCACTTTAAATGTAAATTAATTAAATGCTCTAATCAAAAGATAAAAGGTAGTTGAATGAATAAGAAAACAAAACCCATACATATACTGTCTACAGAGACCTACATCAGATCAAAAGATACAGACTGACTCAAAGTAAAGAAAAGTAAAAAGATAGTAATGCAAAAGAAAAAAAAATCTGGGGTAGCAATAATTATAAAAAAACAGACTTTAAAAGAAAGGCTATAAATAGAGATAAAGAAATTACATAATAATAAAGGTATAAATGCAAAAAAAGGATATAACCCTTATAAACACTTATGCACCCAACATAGGAGCACCTAAATATATAACGCAAATATTGATGCACATAAAGGGAGAGGGTCACAGTATATAGTCATAGTAGGTGACTTTAACACTCCATAGACATCAATGGAGAGATCCAGACAGAAACTCAACAAGGAAACAGTGGTCTTAAAGAACATATATACCAAGCAAATTTATTTCACATTTTTTATGCCATATTTTTTTACCCATGATCTCAGATGCCAGTGCAATCCTTACCTGAAAGTGTCTTTTGGTAAGAAACACACTGATGTCTCCACAAGGAAATGGCAGATCTCTCTCGATTCTGCAGTCCATTTAGTCTTTCTGCTAGCCCGCCTCTGTTTAATGAATTACAATATATTAAGTTTACCTGAAAGAAAAGCTTCAGAATTGTTGCAACATCTACATTTTTTACCCTCCAACCAGAGACAAATACATAAAACATTCAAGTTTTAACTTATTTGACATTACATTCTTTTCCTCCTAGGTCAGTAACCCACTTCTTAAAGATATCTTGGAAGCTCAGTTTTCTGATTCACAGAAATATGGGCTACCCTAAGATCAGTTTGACTTCTTTCTTAGTTTACTTATTCCGTAAATATGTACCAATTACTCTTGTTCTACATAGCAAAGTGCTAGGTGCAAGGGATACAAAAAAGGCAATGAGCTATGCCATTGGGGTAGAGAGGGACTTATAATCTGTTCAGCAGACAGTGGGAAACAATTAAATGTAAAGTTGGTTCAGAATTGTAGTCACTAATAAAACCTGATAGGTGTAATACTTTCTATAAGAGAATTTAGGTATGGGCTCATTATTTGGACAAAAGAGATAATTGAATATTAATCACAAACACATAGTAAGAATACCAACATTTCAAAAACAGGAAAATTTTCATGTATTGCGGGCAGATGACTGGTAACAATGAACATACAGGCACTTCACAAAAGCCCTTACCTATCAATTAATACTACGTATACATTAATATATTTTCAAATACATATAAGCATATATTATATATATTATTTTGATTCAGAGAAGTCAGCAGTTCTTAACACAGCTATGATCTCAAGACAAATCAAGATTACTATTATGACTTCATGCAACATAATTTATCAATGTTTTGTCTTATATGATTATGAACCAGTTCACCAGTTTGGTGATCATCTCACTAAATTATCTCATTTTATTTTAATAATATCCCTTCAATGTAAAAAGAACAGATATCAATATCTACCTCATACATGATATATCAGAGTTGAAAGAGAGGATAATGAAATTCACCAATATTACAGAACTAGCCAGATAAGGAAATAGTTGTTGAAACCAGAAAGGACTTACCACATTGCCTGGCATTCAAAATATGTTATTCATTAGTGTTACTAATTTTTAAAAATGATTTCTATTTCCACCCTATACTCTTTCTACAATGATTTAAATATCATTTTAATACATTATATAGTATATATATTATCATTACTACCTACTTTGTTTTCCCATAGGCATTTACCTACACTAATAAAAGACAAAGATGCTAATTGACCATACCTTCACTACATTCATCAGCCAATCAGAAGAGTATGCAAATTAACCCAACAAAGATGGGCGTTAAATTTGCATACTGCAGACAGATGCTGCTGTGCTGCCCTGCGCAAGCGGCACGATCCCCAGCCGCTGCCACCCCAGCGTGGGATCCAGGCCTGCCGTGTGT